AGACTTTAATTAAGAAAAAACATTGCAAGAATACATGTAGCAACATCTGCACCCTGCGATTAAATCATCATATAATGAAAATTTCCATCTTCTTACACTAATTTCTTCCAGTAAATTCCCACAACAACAACCACAACAGCCAAGTGTTCATTTAGACAGACAACTAGAGGATGTTAGTCCTTTTAGGACTCTGCTTGAGATTCCAATTTCTCACTGACTCCTTTACCACAGGCCTGTGTTCTACTGCGGAGGAGACATGGTTGCTGAATCAGGCTTTGTTGGAAGTGAAGGGTTCCCAAGCTTCTACAAACCAAACAGCAAATGTGCCTGGCGCATCACTGTGAGTCACTCTCCCTTCCCCAAGCCTGAGTTCTCCAGCTTTTCCAAGCTTTCTGTGTCTGACTCATGTGATCTCGATGCTTTCCAGGTCCCAGAGGGAAACGTGATAACGCTCTCCTTTCGCATTTTTGACCTCGAGGCTGACTCACAATGCCGCTACGACTATCTGGATGTTTACAATGGACATTCCAACTTGGTGCAAAAACTGGGTCGCTTTTGTGGAACTTTCCGACCTGGAGCGCTCATTTCAACCACAAACATGATGATGCTGGAGATGGTGACTGATGACGAGACGCAGAGTCGAGGATTTCTGGCCTATTTCAGTGCAGTCAAACCCTACGTATCTGGTATGTGGTCACATGATGAAGCTGTTTTGTTTTTGTGTTTTTCATTATAATGCCATGTATGCATTCCCAAATAATCCCAGTGCCTGAATGTAGCATATATTTTTGGACTTCGTATCCATGACCACAATTTCTAATGAGGTAATTTTGCCTTAAATTAAAGTTAAGCTTAATTAAATAGTTAATCTCCTCTTCTTCTTGGCCTCTTGCCTGCTCAGCTTTAAGCGGTGGCAAACCTAAAACCAAAGTAATAATAATAACAATAATAATAAAACATTTGAAAGCACTGCAGAGGTTCTCAATACACATTAGTTTAACAACATTTATGACTCCTAAAATTTTTATAAATCCCAGATTAAGCCTGTTTTGGATTTAAACTATTAAAAATGACTATATTCTTTAAAACGATTGGCAAGTGCAGCTTTCATAGTTTAGGAATGAAGTGTTTACAGCGTTAAAGAAAACAGGAAGTTTCCCACCTCATCCAGCTTTCACAGTACTGTTGTAAGGGAGCAGAATAATAAGTAGTGAATTTCTTTGCATTAAAACCTTCAATAGCAAATTATTACTGGTAATTAAAGTAACCTCTGGCAAATGATCTGAAACATATCATTAAAAGTAACAGGAGGCAGAACCATCGACAGTCTGGATTCAGCAGATAGATGTTGAGTATCAAGCCTGAGATTAGTCTTCAGACTTTTCTTTTTTGTTTGGAAGAGCTTATAATTAAGCTTCAATAATATGCTTCAAATGTGACCCTGAGTCATGCTGCTCCAGCGACCTCCAGCAGTACCCTGGGGGCTCATCAGAAATTGTGTAATAATAGTGGAAGGGGGGCCGGCATAGAGGCCAAAGTATGATGCTACACCCCTGAGCTTGCACAATGTGTTTTAAAAAGTGTTCCAGCCAACAGGCTAGATTATTAATATCAGCTCAAAATGTTGAAATTTATATCTTTGTTATAAATGTGAAATGTCTTATTTGATATTAATGGTGCAGACAGCTTTAAGAAAAATTTACAAGTCTCTTCATTTAGCACCCTAATGGAGTGTTTACGGCTTGTTTCAGACGAACAGTTCTGTGGGGGGAGGATGACAAAAGCCCAGGGAGAGATCAAGACACCCAACTGGCCCGACAAAAAATACGAACCAGGAACAAGCTGCTCCTGGCTGATCACTGTGGAGCCCAATATGGTCAGTGGCAAGCTGACTCGCAGTGTGCAGCCACTGTATAGTCCAAAGTTCCTTACTTTGATTAATTGAATCTTTATACTTGTGTCTCTTTGGATACCAGGTGATCCACGTGAATTTTGATAAGTTTGCCGTGGAGGATGACGCTTATTGTCGCTTTGACTATGTGGCATTCTTTAATGGCGGAGAGAGGGATGACTCACGTCTGATTGGAAAATACTGTGGCGATCAGGTCCCAGAGTGAGTGACAGAAATTTCTGAAGCCTTTAAAGTCGTTTTAAAATAGCCATTTCTAATTTTACACCTCATCCTTTTTCCTGTCTCGTTCCTAGACCTATTGTTACCAGCGGAAATGTGCTACTGGTCCAGTTTGTATCAGACCTCAGTGTGACGTCTGATGGGTTCCTCGCCCACTTTACCAGCATCGCACGTGGTTCTCAGATACCAACAGTCAACTCAGGACAGACTACAAGATACAGTCCTCCAGTACCTTCTGTCAAACCTGCACATCCTTCTACCCCGATAGAAACAACCACCAAATATGTGCCAGCTCCTGTCCCTAGGTCCACTCCGAGCCCCAAACGAGTCAAGCCCACTAGAGACCGTAATGCAAAGCCAAATGGAAAGAGGCCTGGTAGGTAAATGTACAAAATAAAAATAAAAAAGTTAACAACTAGTATCACTAAAAATATATTATTTCTTTTTCACTATTTTCTTATTAGTGCCTCAAAATCCACTCTGTGCCAAAGCCTGTAAAAGAAATGGAACAATCAAGACTAGTTTCTGTGCCAGTGAATTTGGTAAGTTTCCTGCTGTTGACATATATACACACACATGCATTATCAATCAGATGTTGCGTTCTGACTGACCCCACCTTTTTTCCAGTATTAACCGGGAAGGTGACCTCTGTGGCCCCGAGGCCCCGAGGTGCTATTCAGATTACTGTGTCCCTCATCAAGGCCTACAAAGCAGGCCGGCTAACCATAACACAAGTTGGAGAGACCATGTCAGTTAAGCTGATGTCGCAGTGCAAGAAGTGCCCGCTGTTCCGCAAAGGTGGGTTGTTGCTTATTTTTTAATTCGTATTATCCAGGTGCTGGAGATCAGCAGTATCGTCTTTAACTCAACAAACATAACCTCATTTAATCTTAATGTTTGTGGGGTTTTTGGGTTTGGTTTTTTTTTTTCATTCTCACAGGTGTCAACTACATCATCATGGGTCAGGTGAATGAACAGGGACAAGGTACCCTGGAACCCGGTGCATTCACAGCTCTCTACAAAGCCCCACACCACAAATTGTTAATGAATATCAGCCAACAACCCTGTTAACCTCAAATACCCGTCCAGACCAGAAAATGGAAACAGAAATCTAGACATTTTAATGTGAAATGCAGCTCTTTCAAAGCACTATATATATGTTATACAGGAATACATAACTTCAGTGTTGTACCGCAAAATAATTAAAAGGAAGGCAATTGTAATGTCTTATTCAAAACTCTGCCAAACCTTGTGTTTGTAATTTATAACTGAATAAAGGTTTTATATCTCTTTCATTTTATCTGACTGGCTACTTTGTGTGTGTATATCAACTGTGACACTTAATATTAGAATGATGTCTCTGACTCCACCTTGTGGATTTAAAGAGTAAGAGCAACCTGCACATTATGAATCGGATAATCATGGCTCTAGATGAAGAAAATGTATTGTCATTCATAAACACAGAGACCAGTTTACCTTCAGGAGATCCAGACCTCTCTGCATAAAACAATGTTTTACAAGGAAGAAACTTTTTATTTTTTTATTCGAAGATTCTGAAGCCAGGAATGACAAAGTCAATTTTCGAAAGATATATCAAGAAATTCCTCAATTTTATTACCAAAGGAAATGGAATTGCTCACTTTTTCTCTGCCGTTTTTGTAGCTTGCAAAACCATCTGAACCACTGAATACTTGGTGCAATAGACCTCAACACTTGAAATGTGCAATTCACTTGTATTTTTATTTTTATTCCTATTTATTCTATTTATCCCCTTCGTATATTTTATTTATATTTGTCTCTGTATTTATATGTGTGTGTGTATGTGTGTGTGTGTGTATATATATATAATATTCTGTAACTGTAACTTCTGTCGGTGCTGTGCTTTTTGGAAATCGAATTTCCCAGAGGAACCCACCCGAGGGATTAATAAAGTTCTATCTTATCTTATCTTATCTTATCTTATCTTATCTTACTTCTAGGGCCAGGGTCTGGCAGACTGACCTTATATTTGAGACCCGTGGTTCCTATTAAAAATCTCAAGAGGTGATAAAGTCTAAAGTCTTTGGTCAAAGAGTCTAAATCAAGATGTCAAGTTTTTCAAAAAGGTTTCTACAAATTCCTGTTCTGACCTCATATAACTAGAGTGCAACCAAAAAATGTTCTGTACTTTTAGTACGGAATTATAATTGGAAACCTTGCTTTTTTAATTATTACTGAAGTTTATTAGTATAAATGTGTTTCACACGGCTATACCAGAGCATCACAAGTTGTAGAAATAACAGAAAGAAAAATAACAGAGTACTCCTACCATCAGTCACACAGCAGGGATGTGGCTTTTTATGTTCAAGTGAGAAGTCCAGTGTAACAGACTCACCTGTGAAAAAGCTGACATCCCCATATGCCCTCTTTGCTTTCCAGCAGCTTGTTATGTGGGTTGTTGATGGCAGTTTGTCCATTAGATCTACTACCCAGTCTTCTCCTCATTCTTCAATTTTATCTTCAGTTTCATCCCTAGCATCCTCTTCTGCCACACCAACACTCTGCATGTCCTCCTTCACCATGTTCAGCATTTGGCCCACATTTGTAATTTTCTTTGGGCTACCTTTGGCTTTGACTAATGAGGCTGAGATGCAGTCTAGCTGCCTCAACTAAGCCACGGGTCTACCTTATGACCCCAGACACGTGCCGTATCCTAAGTCAGTCTCAGGTCATACCCTTTGAGCCACATCTGGCCCATGCTATATTTTATGTAGCTCGTGTCATGAGTTTTTCCTGCATCTGGCCAAAAGTATATGTCACTGAGTTAACTGAGCTATCATTTTCTTTTGTGTAAAAAAAAAAAAAAAAGCTGAGTGACACTTTATTTTTTAAAAAAATAACTTTACTGTATAAAAGAAAAGAAAAGAAATTAAATACATTGAAACTGTATTCAAAACGCAATTGTGACTCTTAAACAATGAATATGAATGATTAAATGTGATGGATTTTTACAATGGCTACAGAAAAAGGACATATAAAAGTAGATTTCGTTATAAAGCAGGAAACTTGATAATATAATCATATATAATCCTCCTCTCCACTCCTCTCATCTACACCCAGATGCTACCCTTCCCCTGTCTCTCCATTGCATCCTTTTGACTAAAGCAGCTCCCCGGACCTTGCTTCTGATTGCGTTGGGTGGGCAGGTTCTTGTACACAGCCCGGCTGTAGGGGATGAAGCACAGGCCCAGCTGGAGGTGTCGGGCCAGACGGCAGTAAGCCGCCAGCGCCAAGACCAGCAGAGGAGTGAGCAGCAGAAAGCCCACCACCAGCAGGGCTATGCAGGCTGTGTCGTCCAGCAGGTCTGAACAGTATAGTGATGTTCCATGGGGCTGCACCTGAAGGAGAAGGGATGAAGGGTCACAGAGGCCATTCACACCAAACCATCATCAGCACTAACTCTAAGAAGTGTTTGTGTATTTAAGGTGCTCACACTAGTGATGTACAACACGGTCAGCATGCAGTGTGCTGTTTGTGAGGGCCTAAGTCTCACAGTGACCTAGAGCAGCTTAGTAAATGAGCTCTGGGAGGCTCCAGAAACAGCTGAGAAAACAGCGTCAAATCTCCGGAAATAAAGGAATTCCTTTCTTTTCTTTGGCATTCCAACATAAGAGTTTGATTAAAAATCGACATCAGGAGGTGCAACTCCAGTAGTTGGTTTGATAAACTGTGATTACCAGCAGAATCTAGTTTTAACCCCTTTCTTTCAATCTTTTAAAACAGCATTTTCTTTCATTAAATCCAAGATAATTATATAAATATATATATGTATTTACTGTGGAGTGGCAGAGAAAGCCGAATATGATCATGGTCAGCGCAGGGGTGAGGATGATGCCGAACAAGATGCTGGCCAGACTGAAATTGATCAGAGCGATGATCATATTCTGTGCAGTGACCAGCACGGAGCACGCCCAGCAGTCCAGAGAGCCCCTCAACTCCACAGGGGGGTCAGCGGCTTCGCTCCCTCTGTGAGAGTAAGGAGGCGGCACCACGACCCCTGACCCCAATCTGGAGGAGAACCGTGCTTCGGAGCGGGCTTGCTCAGACATTGTCTTCTCCAGCGTCCCGGTCCGTGAGAGGCTCATCTTCTTTGTGGTCTTTTCTGCATAAAAAAACCACACACGAGTCATTCATGCAGCTAGACAATCCACAAAACAACCTGGATCAGCATGACTTTGTTTTAATCCCGGCGTTATCGATCTCATCTTGGGTCTTTGATTGTCTGTTAAAAACCTTCCCTCTCCCTGCATGCTCTGATTCCGATTCAGTCTGACCGCTACAAAGATGGAAAGTTACAGAATATTAAACCATATTATGCAATAGGTCCCTGAAATATTATGGCGAAAGATATGGAAAGTCACCATGAGATAACTGCACAGTTGTAAGTGCAAGGAAATTAACTTCCCTGACTCCACCTCCGACCCCCTCCCAAAACAATGAGCCAGGAGCATCTGGAAAAGTTTGAAAAAATTCCACTACTCACCGAAGTGTCAGAACATTGTCACAATTTTATTCATGAAATGCTGGGTGTGAGCTTTTAATTCCTACATTTCAATTCATTCAAGTGTTTCCACGCGATAAAGAGGAGCACTAACACTACTTCCCTCTGATCTGTGCTGCACTGACAGCTGCTGGTATTCACCAGTGTGAAATCTTTCACTTTGGCATTTCAACCTCACCCTCCAATCGACTGTCCAGTTAGGTGTTAAGATCATTAAAAAATATCTCTTCTAAAACTAGATTATTGTGCATTATACGGAAGTCAAAGAGTACAACTTGAGTAACAACTATCACATAGATTAAAAGGGCTTTTTGAGTATTAAAAAAAACATATCAACGGCTTACACAGCATTTTAACAGTTCCTTCGATCTGGGATGGCCTTTTGGAGACACTGGAGAAAATAGGCTGTTTGCTTCCAGATCAAAATGAACCCTACTGAATGGCACTGATTTAGTGTGTACACATTCAAATAAAATGAGCTGTTTTGTTCCAGCATGTTTTTATTTTTGAAAAAAAGAAAAAAGAAAGGAAAGCAAAAGTAAAGGATGGATCCTGTCATACTTACTTGCGTTATAAACCTGATGACCTTCCCCGGTGCAGCTCAGTAGTGGCCGCAGCAGATGAAGAGAATTTCAAGAATTTCCTCCTGATGTGCGTCTTCTCCGACTAAAAATCCAGATTTCGAACGTATATCCAAGTAAAGGTGGAGTTTCTACCTCTCGGCTAAGTCTTCTTCTGTGCTCAGGGCTAATTATACAAGCTAATAATAATAATAAGAAGAAGAACAATCGGGAATCTGTCAGCAGTTTGGACTTTAGAGATGTCACAGAGGCGGGCAGAAAAAAGCTCTACAGGCTGGTGGCAAATTGTGCTTTCCTACTGGCTTCCTTCCCTGACATGCTTTTCCTTCCCTTTTTAAGATTTTCACTCTGACTCCAGTTTTGAGATCCGAGCCAGTGAGCCTGTATCCTGTGTTGCCTCGAATGCACAGAAAGAAGGCTGGGCTGTGTTAAAGGCTGATGTTAGGTTTGTTGGGCAGAGGTGCAGTGGAGGGGTTTATATATGATAACCCCTGAGAGGAAGGGGGAGGGAGGAAGAGTGTTTATTTGGATGGATTAGAGGAGTTATATGCAGCCCAGTCTGCAACACTTTACACCTTCACTGAGCTTTTTCTTCACTGTCAAGTCCCGATAAGGTCCTGTTCAAAATCCAAAACAGCTCATTTTGTATCGCTTTTCAAGCCAAAAGAGAAAAAATAAATAAATTTGAACCCATTCTGGGAGAAGTCAAACTGAGAGTCTGACAGAAGACTTGCTATATTTACATTTTCACTGAGAGCTCAATTCAACCACTTGGCAATATAGCCTGAAGTAAGATGTTTAAGGCACAGACAGACTTACATAAGGTTTCTTCCCAGTGCAGGAGTGACAGGGGTTTGGCCTTTGACCCTGTGATGAAAAACAGATCTGCTCTTTTAGAAAACATAAGGAAATGAGGAAGCGGGGGAACACTTGCTAATTTAGAGGTGGGGAAAGAGGCTATCATGGGGCTGATAAGAAGCCAGAGGGGCTCAGATCAAAGGGTGAAATGAGTATTTTGATATGAAGTCTAATTTTATTATCTTTTTTTAAAAAAGCTCACCGTAGACATCTTTGTTTATTTCTTTTTTAACAAGGGGCAGATCTATAAATTCCTCAAAGAGAATGAGACTGATCAAAGAACTCTTGGCGTTTAATCTGTGGGTTTAAAATAGAAAGAGGGGATGAGGAACAGAGAAGGTGACGGGGGTCAACCAGTGTTTTTGCCATTAGCAGTGCCACAGTGTGTGTTGTTTGCATGTGCATGTGAGTGTATGAGAGGGCTGGTAGAGGAAGACCAGTCTTCCTGTCCTTGGATCCGGGATATCCGCTGCTGTGTCCACGCTCGACACTGTGATGTGCACAGGTCTGGCAATCTCATACCCGTGAGACAGAAAGAATGACACTCTCATTGCGTGTGGCGCCTGTTTTCAAACAGTTTCATGTAAGTCTACATCTGTTATATTATTTTGGTTCATTATCATTGTATAAGCAATATGTAGCGTTACTTCTTTTGGTCACTTTAGGCACTGACTTCATTGTTTTACTGTATGACTTAGTTGACTTATTGCTACATTTGAATTACTTTCCTGCTGAACTCGAGAGCAGCTGCAGCTTGTAGCTTTGACAAGATGGTATCAGGAAAGTGTTGGAGGGAAAAATAAACGAGCTGTGTGCTCGCCTCCCTCAGCATCAACTCTGAGGGAAGCACAGTGTCCAGTGGAGCCACTCAGTGGCCATAAGCAGACTGACAGAAGTGCAGCGGGCACATTTAAACGCTGGATCAGATCCTTCAGGACCACAAGACCTCATTGTTGCACAGATATGCCTTCAAAAGTGAAACAATTTTGTGAACTTGGAAAACTAAAATGAAAATAAAAACTATTATCCTTTGTTTCAGCATTTGTTAGTTTGGCTTGATAGCTAACACTTTTTAATTAATACTGAGTTTGACAGGAATGATAGTGGAATTTACTAATTAATGGATAATGGATGGTGCATAGTGAGATTATTTGAATTTTTAGAAAATGGAAATTTTGATATACTGGTTCTAGAAAAAAAGGGGGAATTGCATCACCAATAACACGAGGTTTTATTCTCCTGTAAAACTAATTTTTATTCAAATTAATAAAAGATTCAGACAGAAGCAAGTTGCATGCAGTTCAGTCTCACTTTCTTAGAAAACGATACCATATAAAATAAGTCGTGTTTTTAAATGCTTATAATCCTCCACACTAGAATGGAGTTGGGTTGCAAAGCAGCTTGCCGAGCCATCTACAACTGTGGGCGGGCAGAGCTCTTTTTAAGATTTTCTCATAGAATGCAAATAGAGGCTGTAGCTTACCCATCAGTTAAAAGACATCCACTCATATTGAGCTAATCTCAAAGAGAGCAGAGAGGGTTAGCCAGTTAAGACTGTAGAAGGTACTCGATGGGACTCCAAAAAAGAAATGAAACGTCGGAAAAAAATCATTGTGGGATAATTTATCAAAACATTTTATTTTCTTGAACAACCATACAATATGTCACAGAAAAATCACAGAGGGATTTAAGACAGGTCTGGCTCAGGTTTTTTCTTCTATGTGAGTTCTTTTTCAAACAGTAAGTGCAGCATAAATCAAACAAGTCAAGAGGGGGAAAAAAGAAGCATTATTACACCCTCCAAATAATCCCAATAATGAAGACAAGACACGAAAAACCTCGACGCCATTAAAAGTCACATCCCTAAAAGTCTCTGCAAAAGTGTCAAGAGTTACAACTACTGCTAATGCTCATCATAAAATCACTAATGCCTCACAAGATTATGAATTTCATACAATGGAAAAAAAATGTTAAAAAAGATCTCGTATTTATCTGTTAGATACAGTACAAAGACATCATTCCATTTCTGTTACCAGTAAACTGTGTTGAAATGGTTCTGAGCACCAAATGGTTGGTTTGAGTTGTATCACTGACTTATGTTCATATATCATTATATGCTGTTTAATGAGGGGGCACTGAGGCAAGGAGGGGTCTAGCACCATGAAAATTAAACCACCCCCCTGATTGCACTTCCCCTATCAACACATTATGACCATACTACATTTTTAAAATACCTTGTAGCCCCTTGTCAAATGACGTATCCTTTGATATGCAATAAATATATACGAAAACGACAATGTACAGTATAAATAATGTCACAATTTACAATTTTCCATTTTCTCTGTGATCCAAAAAACCGAAACTGACAACAAAAAAAAGAGGTATAAAAGCGGGAAAGATTTCCCATTGCAGTTATTTAAACTACAGTGAAACAAGATATTTTTAGGGTGTATTTTAATATAGCAACAACAGAAACAAATGACTAAGGTGGACAAGTCCGACCAAAGACGAGTTAAAATTTCTGATTGAGAACAAATCTACAGTCTTCTAGCAAACCTGAAAACAGATACATTATGTACATTGAATGGTGTGCACAGACTAATGAGGGGCAGAGGTATGATGTGGAAGATGTCATTCGTGGGCATTCTATTATAATGGTTATACGACAGTGAGGTTGAACCGCCATCCAAATTCATAAAAACAGACCCGAGCTTGTGGAGCGAGCACGAAAGACAACGGCAGGAAGAAAAGCTGCTGAATGTACTTTGAAGCAGCGCTAGGCGCATACAGCATGGTAACCAGCCTCCCAGCGTCACACTACATTACAGAGCACGCGTGAGATTTTTAGCTTGTAGCTTAGAATTTTTAAAAAAAAGTATCTGTGACTAAATTAGTTGTGTTTATAAACAAAAAACAACATCATCATAGATTGCATTAATATGTGACTTAAAATCTCAACATGTGAAGCTACATCAACTTTGTAGCCAAGTAAAAGTGAACGCAAAATAAAAGTAGGTCATATGAACAATAAATGCGCCATTACTAATATAAGCAATAAAACGCATTAATGACAATGAAAATCATTTGATGTGCTGTTAAACAAAGAAATCTGGGTCTTTCCTGTCATATTTACATTCAGCCGCTCTTGAACATGCAATACTGTTCAAAAGTTTTGGTGCACTTTTTTTTTTTAGAATAAAAAAGTAATTTGTTTTTGGAAAAAAATTGAAATTACTTAGTAATCATTAGTTTAAATTAGACACATTGTAAATGATGATCAGTGACCACCGGAATCGTTAACTATACATCATTAGTAACTATTTTAATGGAGGGCTGTTTTCAGGAAGCATCGTGTGTTCCAGTGGTACACTGTTACCTAATACAAGTTTATTAAGTTAAAAGGCTAAGTGATCATGCTCGGAAGCTGCAGCATTGGCCTTTGTTTGACTGATTGCAGCTGCTTCATCAAGAAGGTTTATGTTCTAAATAATGAAGCTCTTCAAAAATATTTAATAAAACAGCGTATATGATAGCTTTCTCTGAACCAGTGTGCAGCCAATAAAGTATCCAAGTACATCTGAGTCTCCAGTTTGAACAATAGATGCCACATGGCGTCTTCTCTGGCAGCTTCAACAGCGCCCATAAAATGCCTGTCTGAACATCTGCAGTAAAGAGGCGTCTAAGCAGTGTCACAAAGGAAAAAAGCCACAAGACCGAACAGCAAAATATGGCTTTTTCCTCACAACTTTGCTTGAAGACCAGAATCCTGGAGTCACCTCTTCACTGCCGACACTGAGACGGACGTTATGTAGCTGCTGTTCACTGAAGATGCCAGGTGAGGACCTGTGAGGTACCTGTTTCTCAAACCAGTCTTTAGTCAGTGATGGACTTTTCCTCTTCCTCAGCTGTGCACCAGCCTCTCCAAAATCTCTTTCCATTCTGATTAGAACTAGTTTGTCAATTTCTTTTTGGCTACAACTGAACGAGCCAAATTTACTGCTTCCGTTACTTCAAAAAACATTTTCACATGTACTCATTTAATTTACAAAAACACTCTTCTGACGACCACATAGCCTTTTAGCACGATAAAGCTGTAACAGGAAACACCGCAGAACACAGAAGTGATGGTTCTCTTCGAAGCAATGACGACTTTGTCCATTAATCAGAAATTGTTTTGTAGCATGTGGCATGTCTGATCAGCACTATGCCTCATTAGACAAAAACCAAATATGCTTCTATTTCAGAAACAAAAAATCTTCCGAAACCAACCCAAACTTCTGAGCAGCAGCGCACCGAGCTGGACCCTTCAGGACTGACGATACTGACGCGGCCTGCAGTCTGACCTCACTGGTTTTTGCATTATAACATGATTGTGTGTCCCTCCGGACGTTTCACTTCACAAGCACTTCACTGACATAAACCCGAACGGCGACCCCTGCTCTCTCGCACCCCATCTATGCACACCACTGCGTATCCCATAAATTTATTCACAATTTACAATTATTTATCTTCTCTGTCATCTAGAAACAAGAATATTGAAACAAAAGAGGTATAAAACTGGGACTGTTTGCCCATTCCAATAATAAAAAAAGAGAAAAGAAAAAGACATCACAATGCCTTTTTTCCTCCATGTGTCATAGAACCACACCTAACACCATTTAGACCTGTGAAGAAGCCAAAAACAAATAAAACAAGTTCGTTTTTCTTTCTGCACACTTCATTTTCAAATAAGAACAAAACTGTTTTAGTCCTCTGCTAAACCCGTATTTTAGAGACACTGATAAAAATTTGTGTTTTTTTCTTTTTAATGCTTACATAAAACCTTTGTGTGTGTTTAATCTTCTAATTATCTCTCCTCTAAAGTTCACAAGGCCAATGTGGTGTACTTCTAGGCTGGTAAAACTCTTTTTAAGCATCTAACGAGCATAAATAAGATTGGAATAGCACCTCAGAGAGTTTACAGACAGGAGTTACAAATGTCAGAGCTTTTACCTGAATATGAAAAAAAAACAAAAAAAAAACCCAACAACAAATAACCAGAAACAGAAACCAGTACGATGCCAAATGTGACAATCAGCTACTTCTCTTATGAAGCGTTTCCCCTGCTGGTACATTAGAATCACAGCAAATTCATGGACACATAGAATAACTAGATTGGTGTAAAAAAGTTCTACTGAATTTGCATAAAAGTACCTGAATCAATACACAGAACTGGCTACTTGACGCTTTTGAATCACAGCAGTGTCCGTTGAAAATACATCACCTGATTTTCAGTGCTAGCAGTGCTCACATTGTGTTTTTTTTCTCCTGTCCTTATCTAAAATGCTTCTTGTGAAAAGTACCAGTCTAGTCATTCTATTTCAAAACACATGTCCAATCAGCAGCTGGTATGGGGAAGACGGTGAGCTATATAGTTGGACTGGCTGAGTATCCATACCTTACAGTGTGATGTAAACAATACTGAGTAAACGTGATTGGCTGATTGAGACAGTGTTTGCAGGAACAGATTGCCTTGAAGGCAACATTTGTGCTGCCATTAGAGTTTTGGTTATGGCTGAAAGACACTGTGGAGGAGTCCTCACTTTGAGAAGGGAGTTGGAGTCTGAAGGATGAGGGGAGAAAAAAAAGAGGAAGAGAGACAGTTCAGCTGGGGGTTTGGAAAGAGCTGTTATCAAATACTTATTGCATTACTGCGGACTATTTTTCAAAGCAGACAACTAGTATCTGCAATAAGGATGTTGTTTATTTAAAAGCACCAGGACAGGGAACCTAGCAGACTCCCTTACTGCAGCAACAAATCATAATGTGAACCCCAATTTTACAAAATGGCCAAAAGTAATATCAATTTTAGCCAAATAACACATGACTTATTTGATATGTATAATGGTAGATGAGAGCAGTTCTAGGGAAGGTTAACCAAAGCCAATAAAAAACAAAAAAAAAAGAGAAATCGAGAGAAATAAACTCTTATTCACACATTTCTAAAGGGAGAAACTCTAAAGGCTGGATTAACATAATAGCGTCACATCAGCCACCAGTAAACAGCACTTCATCCAACCCAGTGTGCTTTTTGAGAATGATGACTATTCTCTGTTGAAATGACAAATACATGATTTGGAAGCAAGATGATATCACTTTGTAAAGTGAAGCAATGTAGCTGTTTGGGAAAAAATAAAAGTTACAGGGAAATTCTGATTTTCTTTTTTGGTTGTGAACTTCACAAATTTGCTAGCTCAGCTTGTTAAAAAGAAAACGTAGGAAGGTAATTTCGCTAAAACAATACCATGAAAAAGTATTTGACCCCTTCCTGATTTCTTAGCTTTTTGCATATTTGTCACACTTACATGATTCAGATCATCAAACAAATGGTAATACTAGACTAAGATAATCTGAGTAAATACAGAATTTTATCTAGACCTACCAAGTGAAAATGTGAAAAAGTAAACCTGGTAACTTCTTGTGTCATCCTTGGCAGCAAGAACTGCAATTAAGCATTTGTGATAA